CGAATTGCGGGGTTTGTCAGATGAGGTTCCAGCCCTTCAGGCCCGCAGGGCCGGGGTTTGCTGAGATCGTGGGGGGCCAGAAGTCGCTAGGGACACACGGCCGGAGTTGTCAGTGCTCCAACAGCTCCTCTGAACCCCACCTTTAGCTTGATCTGGCAGAAGAGCACAAGTGCAGTTCGATCGGCTGGAGGAAAAGAAGGAATCAGAGGAGCTGCTCCTCTTTCTGGCTGAGGAATATCCCATGGTTTTTAGGGAAAGGTGTCAAACCATGTTCCAGGGACTGGGAGAAGGGGGCCAGAAGGGTACCCGGGGCCTGCGCTAGCTGCTGTGGGTGAGGGAAGAGAGCCCTTTTTGCCTTTGAACGACACTTCACGGGGACAGAAACTGCTCACGACTTCGGGCCAAAATGCGTGAAGAACGAACCCTGGGAGCCAAGCCACGCGTTTGTTTCCTCCAGAAAACCGTCCACGATAACGGTGACACGCCATGGCTCCAGAAGGCAAAAGGAAGCCGAGCAACACGATGCAAAACCAGGATTTTGGCTGCTCTAAGCACCGCCCGGCGCTGCCCTCCTTGTTTTGCTGAGGAGACGCTCAGTAGGCAAAACACCGCGGGACCGGCCCGCACTCCCGCCGGCCCGGAGCCCCTGCTCCTGTGTTTCCCTTGTGCTGCCGCTTCTGCTCCGGCCCCGGCAGGCAGCAGGACGGTACGGGCTGCGGCGGGCGGGACCGGCCCGGCCCCGGGGCGGTGCGAGCGGCGCTCGGCCCCGGCAGGGAGGGGCCGGACCGCCCCTACGCGAGGAGCCGCCGCCGTCGCGGTCGCGGCGGGAGAGGTGACAAGCCGCCGCTGCGCGGAGCCGCCTCCGCCCGGGTGGGAGAACCGGGTGTCCCCTGCTCCGCGCCCCGCTCCGAGGTAAGGCAACCGCCCGCGCCGCTTCCAGGTCCTCCCGCGCCGCCGCCAGCCCAGCCCTGCCCCGGGGCTGCTGCGGGGCCAGGGCGCGGGGACAGCCCGTGTCCTCTCGCCGCGGGGCCGGGCCGCGCGGGGACGTGGCGGGTGCGCGGCGGTGGCGGCGGGTCCTTGTCGTGCCCGGCGCCCCGCGGAGGAGCCGCGGCGGCGATGCCGCCGGTCCCGGGGGAGCCTGACGGCGGCAGCGGCCCGCGCCGCCTCCCTGCGCCGGGAGCTGCCGCCGCTGCCCGTCCCGCCACACCTGGTCCCTCGGTTCGTCCTGCCGCCGCCGCCCCGCCGCCGAGGGCGCAGGAAGGCGCCCCGAGCCCCCAGCAGCTCGGGTGCCCCCTACCCCCGCCGCTCGCCTCCCCTTCGTTTTCCGAGGGGAGCCGCCGCGGCGTGGGACGGGGCGGGAGGCGGCGGGCGCTGCTGCCGGGCCGTCGCGTCTGGTTCAGCGGTGATTTATGGTTTTGTTAACTCAGCATTTGGCACGGGGTGCGAGCGGGGAGAGCGGCGAGCGGGAGTCATAACTTTGTGTTACTTCTGGAAGGGAAATGGAAAGGGCCCTGTGGGGCCGTGGCCGCCCCAGCGGCTTCCTCCAAACCCTCCCTCCCCGCTCCATGCCCGCCCGCTCCAGCCCTGCGGCCGGGGGCTCGCTGCGTCCAGCAGGGAATAGCGCTGGGCAGACTGGGGGGCTGTGGGGGAGCACGACACGGGATTGTCACCCGTGAAGGTGAGTGTGACAGGGGGAAAAAACTGTCAGGAATGAAATGTTTTTCTTACTACTAGTTTTGCGTGGAAACAAGGTGTATTTATTCCTTCTACGTACGTGTATTTGTCTACATATACACAGAATGTACACACGTATTTTCTGAGCTATGAGAACATTGCCTATAGGCTTCTGTTTCCAGATGTTTTGCTTTCTGTTTCTTTTGGGCATATTTGCATTTCTGCTGGAAGGAGAACAGGCAGCAGTAACGTGGCTGAATATGTATTTGAACGGTAGCATGGAACAACTTGTGTGCCTTTAATTCAGCTGCAGAGGATATCCATGTGGGATTAATATACTTAAGTGATCATGTCACACTGACGTATCTTGTTCAGACTTGTAGATTTTTAAAGCAGTGTGGACTTGTAGGTAGTAGTGGAAGTGTAATTAATTTTAAACATGTGACTTGGCCTAGTACGTATGATTTTAACATGGTATTCGTACCTTGGTAAATATGCATAGATTTAACCATCTGTCCTGTATTTTCCCTTTGTGCGTGCACATACCACACTGCACAAATGAAAAAGGTACCTGTGGTAGGCTTTAGGGCCAAATACGTATTTAAACTCTTCTGGGAAATGCTCTAAAGTTACTCTCAAGGAAAACATCTTTCATACAGTTTTTGAGTATGTTTAAAATAAATAAATAATAATAAAAAAGGATGCTCCAGCATCAATTGTATCAAATATGTCAATTCGTAACTTGTATTTGGTATTAATACTATTTGCATTCATCCAGTATAGCTGATAATGCTGCTGGAAGGCATGTAATTTTTCTCGCTATGGACAAGGCCCTTTTGTGTGGCATCAATCTCATATTTTTAGAGGGCGCATGAACCCCTGGGTAGACCCCTGCAGTTTTTCTCTCCCTGTGGTGAGAGAAAAGTAGTGGTGGGGTGCCAGCTAGTGTTGCTCAACTGGATATCATAGCAACAGAACTTCTGACACAGGCTGGAGCTCCCAGTTGGGGCACATCACTCTTTGGCACTTGCCATAGTTGCTGGCTGGCGTATGCTATGGCTGATCTACGTGTGAGTGCAATTTGGAATAGCAGTGGTCCACAGTGGTGTTTTGCACTAATGTAAGGGTGTGTTTGTCTGTCTGTGCAAGGTAACCTGCAGCACAATACCTATACAGTAATGTTTTCCTGCAGCTGAAGAGCTGGGCTGTTTTGTTGTGGTATCCCTGCTGTCGCCACAGGAGTGGTACTTCTGCATTGTGCAGATAGGTGGGTGGATGACATAACATGTGTCACTTCAACATACTTTCCCTCTGCAACTTAATCTCCTTTATTATTTACGGTCCCCTCTCTGAAGAAATGGCCTGGTTTTAGTCCACAGAAAACCTGCCAAAATCTCAAATCTTTGGCATTGGTATGTTTGGGTTTGTGATGATGAAATCTTCATTTGAGCATCATTTTCTTAAATTTGGCTTTTACAGAATAACAGTTGTCATAAGAAGATTAAAAATAAAGTCTACTTGCTGCTAACACTTGGTGGGTGAAATTTCCATTTCTTATACTCCAGATGCTCTGCAGTTTCTCTGCTGGTTGCAGAATGTCTAGAATTGTAGTGTGCAGTACTAAACAAACTACTTTTTCTTCTAACCTAGGAATTCTTAAACTGTAGTATACCTGCCATAGCAAAAGTAGTACATGAATCCTGCCACCAGTGGCACATGACTGCCATGTGGAGAACCTTCTTAGTCTTGCTTTTCCTTGGGTTAAAAGCTTGGTTACAAGACACTGGAAAAAGTTCTGTTAACAATTTATGTTAGGAAGGAAAAAAAGCGTATTAAATTGGTATTCCCATTGCTGCCTGATGGTGTTAGATTTTTTGCATCCTATGGGTAGTTCTTGGAATCTCAGTAACACTGCATGATTATTTTACTCCTTAAGCTGCTGAGTAAAATTATACAGCCTAATTTATTTTTAGGTTTGGCATGTCCACACTGAAACTCATGCCATGCAAGGTGAATGAACAGTTTGCTTGTTTATATTGCCTTCACTCCCCTCACCCCCCTTTTAATAGGCACTCACAGGTCTTGCTGTAACTCTGCTGGAAGGTTTCAGAATTTGGTCCAACTTGACAATAAAAATAGAAATAAAGAACCATGAACCATATTAAACTTGTTATCAAAGAAGGTATTTTCGTGCTGTCAGTCATCAGGGTAGAGATCTCACTCACATGGCTCCAGCCAGTCCTACAATCACATTTATTGCTCTTCTGTAATTTTTTTTTCTGACAGTTTATTGTTAGCTCTCTGTGGCTGAAGTACGCAGGACAGATGTGAACATGCTCCCTTCTCTTTGAAGAATTACAAAGTAACCTAGTTGGCTTCCAGATCACACTGTATCTTTCTTGACGTCCCTCTATCTTAATTCAGACTTTTCAGTCTACTTATTATTCCTTTCCAGAGGTCTTTTAGCAATTGCATCTTTGCTGGATCACTTTTCCCCTGATGAATTATTATTTATTTCCTTAGAGGCATCCAAGAGATAAAATGACTGATGGATTATTTTTTTCCCCTCCCATTACCTTACTTCAGTATTCTCCCACGTTCATTTGCAAGCAGAGCTACTTAGAAAATGTTCATTAAAATGTCATTGAAGTGAAAGTCAGGCAGAGTGTTAATCCAAAATGCTTTTCAGTTTCAAGTCACTCATTTCTGGTGAATAAACCTTTGAAAACAAAAACAATTTCTTTCTTTTCTGCTGCTGATACTTCCCCTGTGCGTTTTGCTGTCTTGATCATTGTGGTCGGATTATTTGTGATAACTGGGTCTGACACAATTGATTCGCTTGTGGCTTTGGAGAAACACAGTATCAAAACACTCAACTAACTTAGGAATAAAAGTGCATGGCTCAATTCAACTACAGGAGGAGTAGACCTCTTCAAAAATCTTACTATTGAAGAACTCAGCAGTTTCTCTTGCCTTGCAGCTACACACCAATGTTTTTAGCTCACATTGGGTGACTAATGGCGATCATGACTGTCAGGGACCATTCCTCTGCGGAGCCCAAAGTAGCTCTGTTGCTGCCCAGGGCTGGGGCCACAGAGAGCTGTAAGATTGCGGGTAGGTGTTTGAGCACCGTGAAGATGCAGCCCGGAAGATGGGAGGATAATGGTGTGCAGCTGTGTTACTGGGGAAGGACATAACACATTCTGGAGTAATCAGATTTCTGAGATTGGAAGGCTTCATGGGCTGCCTGCAGTGCACTGGGGACGCAGATCACTCTTTGTCTAGATAGAGCTGAGGCAGCAGTGCTGTTATTGAGTAGCATTTCACTATGAAAGTATAATGTCAGTGTAAAGTCCAGAAATACTTCTGACCTATGACCCGTTGGGATCATGTATCTTAAAGCAACAAAACCAGGGTCTGTCTGTCTGCAAACTCTTGACTGTTTTCCTCTGCTCACCACTGAATTCCAAGTTTAGGTTTGACTTCTCCTACTCCTCCTTGTTTGGATGGTGCTGCAGCTGTTTGTAATGAAGGGTAAATAGGTCTGTTGTGTCTCCACATTGGGAAAATTTGAGACTGTTTCTAGCTGATTCACCTGATGGTTTGACACTGATATTAGAATGCAGTGTATACAGAAATTGAGCTTTGTAGGTCTTTACAGGGGAAGGATCAAGTGATGGGGGAGCAGCTTCCCACTGCTGCCTGTTTCTCCATTGCCCTTAGTTTATCCAGGAAGGACCCAAACTGTTCATAATATTTTTGTGGTTCCTTTTGAGGTGTCCTCCCCCTCGCTGGTGTGAGACAAATATTTCATGCCTGATGGTATCAAAAAGGAGGTCTGGGAGGTTGACTATATATCAGCCCATACCTCCTCTGACAGAAGATAATTTGTAGTATGGGAAGATCCCTCTCCTCTCTAAAGTTTGGTGTCTCTGATCTATAGCACTACGCTTATTTAAGTGCGCCAACAGTTGGCTTTATTACTTATCTTTTTCATGAACAGGGGACTTGGCACTAGCCAGTGGTTGCTCAGGACAGTATATCCATGGTGAGTTTCTTCAGCAATGGTAGGACTGTCACATTTTCAAGGAGAAAGAAGACTTCCATTTTGTTAATGATTTAAGACTGGAAGGAGTATGGATTGAGTTCACAGGTCTCAGAGAGAAAAAAAAGACGCCCTGTTTTAAGGTGCTGCCGTGTCTAAATGTACTCGACTTGAGCAGTGTAAGCTGGCTGTTGGTGGATATGGGTGAGGCGTGTTTTTGTTTCCTGAGGGGGCTTTCCAAGTGAGCACAAGGTTTTCACAAAGTGGAGTATTTACTTGCTGTCCAGTATGTCTGTATGGACATCATAGGCCCTGATCATGGAAGGCCCTATCATAGGCTTTGATGCATAGTTATTTCAGCATTTACTTGCCATTCTCAATTTGGGAATTTCTGTCCTATGTGTGTGTATAGTGAGATACCAAAAACATCAGGGTGATTTTGGGGTGTCTTACTGCAGTAATGGTTGTCAGGAGTTGACTGTGGTTTTGATCACTACTAACGTGTGGGCCCTTGCCCTGCTGTTGTTTGCAAGTGCTAAAAGATTTTAGAGTTTTTCACTCTTTGCTGAGGCTTTCTGGTTCCTAGGAAACTGGTCATGCTTTCACTTGCTTGAATCAGGCGCTGCTCTTTCCGTAACTGCAATAGTGTTGTGATATCCATAATGTTCAACTCCTCTGTCAAGCATTAGGTCAAAAATATGATCAGCTCTGCAGGTGGGACCAGATGTGACCTGTGAAGGTGCTAAGGGGACTATGAGGAAACTGGCATTTTATTAAAAAACAGAAGAATGTGAGTTTGGGGGACTTCAGCATGTTCAGCCTTGTCAATATATCCATTGAAATTCCCAAGATTGATAATTCTGGGACATTTTGCTACCTTCTATTGCAAGATATTAATGCTAGCCTTCCTCAAACTGTTTGTTTATTGTAGTTTTTAAGTGAATAAATGTTAGCTTTGGCTTTTCAGGTTAATGAAATCTAATAAAAGTTCATTACTATAGGTACCTTAGATTTAATGTTTGCAAAACAGGTAAATTAAGTACTACTTCTGTCTGCTTGTGCCTGGGTTTTGGACTCTGTATTCTGAGAAGGGGGAAAAAAGACATGGGATATATATGTCATCTAGACATCTCTGGGTGATGCAATGTACATCAGGTATTTCACTCTTGGGATTCTGTATTGCCTGTTGGCAGTTTAGAGGTATGTCTTATGTTACTCAATTCGTTCATTTAATTTCATAATGCTTTATGCTCTTTGCTTCCTGTTTGTGGTGGAGTGTATTTCTGCTGCTACTTGCAGCTGTTAGAAAGTATCTGATTTCACTGGTTCTTTTCGTAATTCTTTGAAAAGCCCATTCCATTTTGTACCATGGCAGATGAAGTGGGCTGTGTCATTCACATTGCTGGGTGCTACAGAAGAGGGTTGTGATTCTTTTTGGAGGTGTAAGCTGTTGAATCCTGGGAATAGTTAGAACTGGATATGCCTCCTATGGGAGCAGTGGTGAGTGTGGACAGGAAGGATGAAGGCATAGTGGTAAGATTAAGGCACATTCTGTCAGAAGGAGGTAGTGTCGGTGGCTTCAGTCAGTCTTTTTTTTTTTTTAAATAACCCGTCCTTGCTGTTGTGAATTAGAGGAAGGGAGAAGAAAAATCTATCCACTTCCTGAGCTGTAAAGAGGTCTCTTGACTAATGGTATGGCAATAACTGGAGGCCAGAGATGGGTGGAGCTCGGTACTCCTGCCTCACGAAGCAGCAGAGCAGTTTGGTCATCTGAATTGTGTCGATGGCCTTGGAGCTGACAGGAGGATTATTACAGCACCGTTCTTGCTTTCTAAAAGGCTTGCATCATTTTTCTTTACAAATCTCAAAGATGACTGAAGTGTTTTTTCTTATGTGATACTGGCAGTTCCAAACCTGCTAGAGTTGGTCCCTGCTGCTGCTGAGTCCCTGATGGAGTTTGCTGCTGGAAACAAACTGGGATGGGGGAAAATGTCAGTCAGTGCAGAACTGTGCAGAAGGCTTTTAGGATTGAGATGATGAATTTTCTATACAGGAGGAATAACTTGAAACTGCTGTAGTTCCACTTTGCTTACTCCTGCAAGTGGTTTCTTAGTTTCATGTTGCTTTCTGCATAATAGACTGAAGCAGAATGAACGGGATATCTTTAAAGATATCCCGTTTTTTGGTTGGTGGGTTGTTTGTTGTTTTTGGTTTTGTAGGTTTTTTTGAGCTGCCAGTACTTTGGAAGTTACCTTGTCTCAAAAGGAAATCTTAGGAGATGGCTACAATTAGAAGCATCTGCATGAAATTTTGGGTTCTTTGAAGGACCTATAAAGAACTCTTATAGATAAGCACAGGTAATTTCATTTTTTTATTGTTAGATGGCTTGGCATGTCTTTGTAAAATGGAGGTGCATTCACTACGCAAAATATCTGAGAGTACTGAAATAGAAAGGTCTAAAATTCTGTGGACATTTCTGTACAGGATCCAGAGCTTTTAACCTATCCCTTCTGTCAGCAGTACAAAGAGGAATCAAAAGAAGTAAATGCAAAACATCTGAGTGATAGTCCCTTATATATGCTGCCAATACTAAAGGGAAGAGAAAGCTAGAAGTCTCTTTAGTTCATCCATTATGAATTGAGCAAATGGTCACAGCTTTTGTTAAAGGCAGTTCTAGGTCAGATGAAGTCCTGTTGCCGTGTCTAGATCCAGTGAGGAGCTACTTCTATGAACAGGGGTCAAGGTTGAGGGAGCTAGGCTTCTTTAGTTGGATGGAAAGTAGGGTAAGGGACAGACCAGTAGCTGTTTACAGCTACTAGAGGATGATTATGAAGATAATAGGACCAAACTGTACTTAGTAGTGCCAGATGACAGCAAGGGACATTGACAACAAATTGTTTCTTTGGAGATTCAGGTTGGATGTTAGGAAAATCTTGTTACTAGGAGAGTAGTGCAGCACAGCATCAGGTCATCCAGAGAACAAAGTATCTGCCCTCTGAGCTTTTCAGAACTCACCAAGGCAAAGCCACTCTTGATGATAGTTTTCTCTTGAGTCAGAGGCTGGACTAGGTAACCCCCTGAGGTTTCTTACAACCAAAGTTTCAAGTAGACTGGCTCAAGTGAAGAATTTTTTAGACAACTTTGGATTGAGCTGACCAGCTACTGTGGGATGCCTGGTGGTAAATTTAATTTCATGTCCTCAATACAGCTTTTGTAGTTCATACAATAATGATTCAGTGAACTATACTGAGATTAGTGTTGTTGACCAAAGTATTCATGACCTGAGGACCAGCAGAATGTTTTTGTCCACGTGTTTCTTTTGGTCTCACCTGTCCCAGAGGGAAGGGGCAGAACTCTGATGGTTAATACTGCCCAAACAGGCAAACCCATGGGTCAGCTGAAAATAGCTTCAGGGGATGAGGTAGCACTACAATTACCAAGAGGGCAGGTGGTCTGCAGTGAAATTTTACTTATGATCTTAAGTTCATAAGACTATATACCCCACAGCAAAAAAGCTGTGTAATCTCTATCTTTTACTTTTTCTCTGCAGACCCCTTTGGTTAGTACTACCTTTAAGTAAACCAAAGGTAGCAGATAGGATACCTTCTATTCTTGTTTTGGCTCCACTAATATGTATTAGTGGTCATATTTTATTGTTATTAGAGTTGGTATGAGGGGGAATAGCCAAATGAATAGCTTTGTCAATTTATAAGACTTTTTTTTTTTTTTTTGAGAGCAAGGAAGAGGAGAGTCAGAGAAAAATTCAGAAGAGATGAAGTACACTGTGTTAGAAAGCTGGATGCTATCCCCTTACAGGCATTTCCCTACAAATAAACTCTCCCTTCCATCTTTGAATCTCTGGTGAATGAAGCCCTGTATGCATTTTGATTTTTGAGGCATTCTTTCTGTAATTTACTTAATTTTTTCTGGGGTTAAATATTAATGTGCACTACTTGAAACATGCTGTCTTCAGAGGTCATGCTTTTGGATGCCATTTTATCCCACACATTGCTTCTGCTAGAGGACCTTGTTTCTTGCCCTGTATTACTCATACTTGTTTACTTATTTTTTTCAGAGTGAAAACAATTCTTGTTTCTCTTTGTATGTACAGCTACTTATTTCTTGGTTTCTGTTACATGACATTAGGGAAACTGAAGATTCACGACCATGTATGTAGTATTATGTGGCAGAGTAATTAGGTAAAGATCCACGTGTAGTGTTTAAAAGCATTATACACCAAAGTATTTCTGACACTTCACAGCAGTGAAGAGAGCAAGCTGAAACAAAGCAACCTGTTTTGAGGTACAAATGGAAATTTGGTGCAAAACTCATGACTGAATGCATGTAAGTCTGATGTTTAAAGAAAAGCTGGCTTGTATGAACACACACACAGACTTCACAAAACAGAGCTGCCTGCTAACCAAAAGACTACTTGCTTGCCAACAGTTCACTTGGCATAACTTTCTCCTACCTGTCATCCATACTTCACAGAAAGAAATAAAACCCTGTACTTTTATAGTCCAGGCCTTCTCTTCTTGCCAAAGTAATGCTTTGTTAATTATATGGAGTCCTCTGCTCTTACATGTGCAGGTTATTAATTGCTGTAAAGGGGTGAGGGATTGAATCCTACTCTTACTGATTTTAAAAAACAAAAATTATCCAGTTGGCTCTTGTTTGCTGTAAAATTTCCTGGAGCCTGTTTTCTCTACTTACAGTGGAGATTGCTTGCTGATTTTCCTGCTTGCCCCTGAGCATATACCCTACAGACAGGCTGTTAAGTGGCAGCTTGTAGGGAAATGGGAGGCAGCATCACCTGTTAAATAGCATTGGGTTGTTTTACACCTGTATTGCAGTAGTGTGCAAAAACAATAGGGTAATTTTAATGAATTAGAAAGAGTGAGCTGAGTTATTTTTGTGCTAATTGAAGATGGGAAAATTCAAAATGTAGCTTAGTTTCAGTGGCATCTTTTTCCCTTTGGGTTTATAATGGAGTAATAAAATAGAGCTTCTGGATTTAAAGGATAATTAGAGATTCTCATTACATCACTGGTTGGAAGATGTATTATTTGGAGGCATTGCTGGAATTACATGCAGAATTTCAAATACAATTGAGGTTGATAACTGAAGCTTCATAGAAGATTTTAAACATATTTGTTTTACCTGCAGAAAACTTAGTTGGAATACATCTCTCATGTAGTTATATGAAGTATTAATTTTGGTCATTTAGGAACATTTTGAAGGACAAATCTTGCTCCTGTGTCTTCCCAGTAGGTTGGAAATCCACAAGATAAGGGGCAGAAGTCTAATATTTGCATCCTCCACCTATGCTCCTTGAAACACAAGAGGGTTTTACTATGCTCACGTCACTTTGTGGCTGAGGTTAGTAGGTTTTATGAAAAGGTGATTTATCAAATGGTTTCCTCCTGTTGTGGGTTTGAATAGGAACTACTCCAAATCTGAGGCCAGAACAATGGCTGTGGAGGAAATTAGTCATGGAAGGATCTGTGGAGGAAGGAGCATGTTTTTATCAGCAACAGAAGAACTTCTTAACACATGGGAGTCTTACTAAAGATGACTTATGCATCTGAGTAGTGACGATTTACACCTTTATATTGTTTCCAATTGAGTTTTTAAGATTTAAAGGTACAACATGTGTTTTCTTCTTAATTTGACACATTTGGAAAATATTCATAACCACTTGGTTTCAAAATACGTTTTTATAAAGGCTTAAGCATTTGGTGTTTATTTCAGCCAAAGTCAAAGGCTTGGGAGGCTTCCATCAGATAATTCCCTGGTTGCAGTAGATATTGTACAAACTAGGGGGCCATGAAGTCAGTTAGCAAAGAGAAGGATTTATCTTGAATTTATGATATGTGTTGCTGGCTAAATGATGCTCATGTTTTTACCCTATGATTCCTTGTGATTTATAAAACAGATTCTGAGTAGGGTTCAGCAGCTGAAGGTAAAGGATTTCTCTTTTTTATGTTTTACATTCTGCTAGATGATTTGGGAAGATCTATTCTGAAAAGAATATTTCTGAGGAAACAGTTACATTTTTGGATGGGTAAAAGTACCTAAATATATGGCATCTGAAATGGCACTAGACAATTTTATATCTGGGACATCTGCGTAGGGCTGGCAGATATAAGACATACCAGTAACCCAGTCCTTCCATCAGTGGCCACTGGAGGCCAACAGGAATTCCCTGAGGTATCTAGGAGGTACTAGATATCTGTGTTTGGATGACTGAAATTTAAATTTTAATGTTTTAACATTTTGATATTTCAGATGAGCAAACTGCAAACACCTTTTTTACATCTGTCAGGAGAAATAATAGAATCACTTTCCTGAAAAAACTTTTGCACAATTTTGTGTTTTAAGAGTAAGGTAATTTAAATGCCAATTTATTTTACCTAGCTTATTATTTTGCCAGTTTATAGTTCCTAGCTTATGGGTTATTTTACTGACCTTCCCTCTCCCCAGAAAGGTCCACGTCCAAAATGAAAAAGAAAATCAGGAGGAGAATCCCAGTCCAACTCCTCTTATGTTAATTTGGTGTCAATGAGTTATTCGGAGGAGGAAGGTGTGAGTGAGTGCAAGGACTGATGTTCAGTCAGGGGAAAAAAAAGCCCTGGAACATGTTCAGCATAGCTTAGAGAACAAGCTTATGTAGCTTATATAGCAACATAGCTGGAACATGCTTATGGCAAGCTGAGGATTTACACCAAAGCTGTAACTGTACATTGTCAAAATAGAGGTGTCCTTTAGCTATAGGATAATGTCTTCAGTTATTTGAAATTAATTTGAAAATCAAAAGGGCTATTGAGTGCATGCAACTAAAGTGTCTAAATATTTATATTCCTAATAAAGGTTCTTCTGTAGTAAGATTTTATCTCTTACCTGTTTAATGAAGGACACGATAGAAGAAGCCTAAGTGTGACCATCTCAGGTAACCAGTAGAGAAACACAGATGCTTTTAGGATATGATGGAATCTCTTAGAATAGCTGCTTTGGGATAGGATGAATCACAGCCCACAAATGCCTATTTCTCTTCAGTGACTATAAAGAGAGAGGGGGAGTAAAGTGACTCAGTAAAATGTAGTTGTGTATATTTGGTCAAATATATTTCAAGCTAAATGCATAAGGCTAAAATCCAGAGGCAGCTCAGCTTTCCATGGCACCCAGTATATGTGTCTCAAACACTCAGCAACAAAAGTTTGGTTGGAGTGTACTGCAGTTCTCCTCTGGCTGATGCCTTCATCACCCTTCCCAACTAGAACCACCCTGTGAAGGAATGGTGCATGTGTACTTAGTTTTCATCCTGATGGGGAATTGGTGTCCCACTATAATAAAGTCAGGATGCAGACTGGATGTGTGTCTGAACCCATGTATTTGGATCTCACAATTTAGACGTGGCTTAAATTCCTTGTGCAAGCGGCGGAAGGAGAGAGAGCATTTGGAAGTCCTCCAGGAGCCACCTTAATTTTGGTAAGATTGATTCCTAACATATAACTTGAATATTTGCTTGCTTCTGTGGTGTGTTTTCATTTTATATTTCAGAATATATAATGAAAATAGAATAGTCTGGTTTCATTTCTGAGCGCAATCTCCAGTTTTCCTAGATTAGGGAGATGTTGGGATGTCTGGGTTCTAGGAAGTTAAAACAGTTGAAAAGCTGGACTTAAAGTTCTTCTGATAAGCCTATTTTTAAAACCAAAATCAGACCAGCCCTTTCAGAACAACATACTTGTTTCCTGTTAGTAACTTGGAATTTTGACATTCGTCTTAATTTTTTTAATCTATAGTGATTTCTACCATCACTTCAGCTCTGATACAGAGATTGAGGTATTTTGCAAATACTGGCATCAGTGGTATTATGCATGAGTGCCTAGTTTTAAAATCTTGGCAGCTGCTTTGACTTTTCTTTATGCTGTCATTCAGACCATAGCTACCAAGGCTGAATTTTGCTCATAGTAACAGTTGTGGGAAGTTACTAAAGGAAGTGTCTATTACTGACACAGGAAATAGTTTTGCAGTTCTTTTTATCATTGCTGAACTTACCAAAATGTCACCGTTGCCATAGGTCATCTGTGCAAGGCTCAAAATCACCTATCTGTTACACTGAATGTCACTTAAATTGCTTGTGACTTCATTGTTAGTGTTACATATGCTCCACACTTCTTGCAAAACTCCCTTTAAATTGACAAGTTTTGTTGTTTCTGGAATTAGACCTAATCACTATGATTCAAGAGTAAAGAAGGAAAAACAACTGTGTGGGTTCTGCATTTTTCAGTTCTCCTCCTCTTTATTACTTCCAAAATTGTCCTTTTCTCCAAAAGTTATATCAACATCATTCAGAAAATTGTGCTTAATAGTCACCTTTAGCAGCATTTTTCCCTTGATTCATTAATTACAGGAGCACGTGAAGCAGAGCAGATGGCATTTTCCGAGTTGGGAATTTACCTTTGTTTGTTATTCTTTGTTGAGTTTGACATCTGAATTTCTCAGCTTCTCTAAGATGATGTTGTTTTGCAATGAAATATATAATATGGTTGTATAAATTGGCTTGAAAATTGAAATTTTGGCCTTTTTCTTTGTAACCGATGTGGAAAATGAATGGGCGCATGGGCATATCTCCATTTGGAATCAGTCACTTTGGAACAATTAACTGCTCAATGTACAGAGCAATTATTTTTAAAAATACCTTTTTCTTTAGTCCATGAATTCATGCCTTGTTATGGCACTACTCAAGTGCCATTTTTGAGAAAGAGCATACATTTTCTCTTGAGCTTTTTGATGAGTCCTAGCTAAAAGGTCCACAAATGCGATGTGATATTTTTTTGGCATTCCCTATTGAGTTGAGGGGCTTCTGATCCTTGGGCATAAGAGGATCTAAAACATAATAACCCATGATAACGAGGATCTGTGTGGCTGCTAGTTTTGTGGTTTTGATTCAGGAGTCCTAGGAATGGTATCTGGGAGCACCTCTACGCCGTTTGACTGCAGTTAAAGCTCTACAGTGGTTGAAGACCAGTGTATGCGCTGTGAAGCAGTGGCACTTGAAATAGGATTGCGGAGGCAGTGCTGAACCCTCACCTTTTGAGGGGTTGTGTTAGTGACTTGTCTTGGGTTTGGGGGGTTGGGGTTGAGGTAACTTGCAAGTTTCCTCCCTCTTTAGAGGCAAACTAACAGACCACGGAAGATCTTGCCACATGTTGGGATATGTGCATGTGGTCTGTTGAGAGGATGGATGGCTCCTGGTGGCTGGTGGTGCCTGTGCTGCTTACTCTCCCTTCTCTGGTTTGGGCATCATCTTCCTCTGTGTTGTAACCTTCTGCTTGACCAGATCCAGGATTTCCAGACTCTTGTCTCTTGTGTCTCCTCCTCCCTTTCCCTCTCATTGCTGTCTCTCCCTCTTCTGCCCAGCTTCATGCCATGCTTTGGCCCACCGGCCTTTTCTGACACCCCCTCTGCCGTGTGCTGGTCTCATGCATGCCCCTGGGGCACCAGCCGAAGGGTCATGAGAGCAACAGGCGAGATTGTCTTCCTGCTGTCAGCTCCAATGTCTGGTCTCTGGCAGATGGGAGCAGCAGTTACAGGGGAAATCCTGCTAATCTCCTGTAACTTGAGCCCATTACATGCTCAGTCGCACTGTGGGGCTGGTGCCTTTCCAGCCGCATGCGGACGGATGGCTGAAGGAGACGGACACTCACTGCAGAACATTTTGTGAGGTTTGCACTGTAGAGGTCAGAAACAAAAACCAAAAAGATGCTGTGAGTCAGCTGAATGCTTGCAGGTTTTAAAGCTTTGTCAAATAGGAAAATATTTTCATATGCATAGCAAAAAAGCAGCCTTGATTTTAACAACAAAAAAAAAAAATCAAAACCCAAACCCCAAAAAAGCAAGGGATCAGCTCTTTGCCAAATTTCAAGACTGCCCCAACATGGGCAGAGGAGCCAGAGTTCCTCAGTGAGTAAGTTACAAGGATAGCAGAGGAACATGGTTTTGTCTAGGCTAACTCAGAAATAGGCAAACTGTGTTTTGGCAGAAAAGTAAAAAAAAATCCTGCAGCAGATGTCCAGCATGGAAAATTTTAACAAGGGTAGCTCGAGTTTGGCAAAGTCAAAAGAATGTGGAAAATCCTGACAAGATGCACCAAGCCATCTTAATAACGGATGGAGTTACCACCCTTGTCCCCAGGGTCTCTTGAACCCACTAGAATCAACTATTTGTGTGTTTGGGGTTTTTTTGGGGGGGGGCAGAGGGCAGGGGCGTTGTTTGGGATTTTTTATATAGGGCAGAATAGAGCAGAATGGAGGGGGTGATTGAATAGAAAACAAGGGCTGGCTGGCAGGAGTCTTCTCAGCAGGAGCATGTTTCATCCATGCCTGGAAGGGGAGGGTTTTCACAAATTGGGTGGGAGATGGTGGAGCCCAAAGGAGAGTAGTTGCTTACAGGATAGAGGAATAATGGATTTTTGGGAAGCTGTGTTTATAATATGCAAAATAGTCCATAGGAAACAATGGGGCCTTGGGACAGAGCTGCCAGTGAATGAGAGCTTTGTTTTCCTCTTGTCTATTCATATTTCTAAACTTTTAGTGGCATTTTAAACACGTTTTACACATTTTTTGTGTAATGGCTTGAATTGCCTAAATTGCTGTCTAAAGTAGTGTTGCACTGCAATCTTTATCCCCTTCTGGATAAAGACTGACTTTCAGCTTTAAGTTCCTTTCTGTATTTTTCTTAATTGCAGCTCTTATTCAATAATCCTTGGCTGCTTTGTTCTCGTGTTTTAAAACTTCAGTAAAATTTGTGGGAGAACTGATTGACAGCAGACTTTGTGTACGAAGTGTGTCGAGTTGCCCACAGCTTGACTTGAAAATGGCAACTGGTATCATAGTCCTTATGCCAGAACCTTGATACAAATGAACATTAGTTGCAAGCTAATTGCACGAACTGCAGTTTAGATGCTGCTGATGTGAATTGTCTGCTGCTGATATGAATTAAAGCACCATCATTTGGATGGTGTTTTCACTGAGAAGCATCCCATACCTGCAGTCCCCAACAACCAGTCTGAAATATTCCATAAGATTGTATTGCAGTTAATTGCAGGCGCTGCACATAAGATTATGCAGTATTAAAATGAGAATATTACTGCGTGAATTGGAGTGTGTTTTGGCTGCACATTATGGTTTGATATATTATGGTGCTCACCTTTACAGCCAAAACAGCATCATTGCAGTTTTGCAGTTTCAGAAACATTGTTTGTACCTGCATTTACAATTAGCAAAAGCGTTGAAAATCCTTGTGCAAGAAAAGGTATAGCTGCTGTTGCAGTGGAGGGGAAGGGAATTGTTTGTTTTTGCTGCATATGTTATTTCATGGAGGTATCGCTTTACCTCACCAGTAAAACTCCTTCCCTGCGCGAGGGAAATTCCTGGTTCATTGGTATGGATGCATTGTTTTTACACATTAGAAGTGCTGTGTTGCTGTGTCAATCATCCCGTTAGGATCAGTTTAAGAGCAGTAGGGCTGACGAAGCTGGGTGTGATTGGCTACCATATGCTGGGAGGGCTCTGTGAGAAGGAAGGGCTGCAGTCTTTCAGCAACAGAGTTTAGGCTGTGTCTTTGCTTCATCATCTGAGGAAAAATCCCCAGATAAGGCACAAGGCTTTCTGAGGAAAAAAAAAAAATTACAGGCTGCTCATCGTTCACGTGAGAATTAGTTACCATGATGCGATGGGAAAGATATGGCTGTTTGTTTATATCAGATGTTCCTGTTGACGTTGGGAATGTGTCGAATAGACAGGGCTAAACAAGGTAGGAGGATCCTTGTCTTTTATCGAATGTTTAAAGAGTTTGCTGCAGTGTGCTGCATACTGTATGTGTTGCTTGGGGGAGTCGGGGAAACAGTGCTACTCTGGTGAATAGATTCTGTTTGGGTGCAATAGGTGGACTTTATGGTAACTTGTTTTCGAAGGGTATTAATTTCCAGTGTAAATAGCTCTCTTCAGAAATAGAACATGAGTATATGCATATTAACACAAGTAAAAAAAGAAATAGGTCAGTATGTTTCAGAAATGCTGCTACCCTAATTGGATTTTTAGCTGGGTTGTTTTCTGGAAGTGCTGCCTAGCTTTAAGAAGGAGAAGGAGTCAGCCTGGAAATCTGTGAAGTTTATAGCAGCTATGTTTGAAGATTTAGCTGAATTAGACTGGCTGATCTAAATAATTCCCTATTGGAGGCTTTAACTAAAGCCAAGACTGCCTGTTTTAGACTTGAAGGAGCCATACAACGAGATTACAGTATTTTACCCTGTTGTAAAAGTATGGTCATTTTTGACTGCACTGTGATTCCTTGTGGTCTTGAAGGAAAGCTGGAAGAGTTTTTCATATTGTAGTTTAGCTGAGTGTTTCCCCTGTCCTTTCCAGGTCTTTGTCTTAGCAGCAAAACAGAACCTGTACATGAAAGGAAGGAAAAAAACAAGGTTAATAATATGTGCTGCAATTATCTGATCTTTATACATTTTTAATGAGAGAACACACAGCTAGCAGAATAATTTAATGAGCAGGCTGGCTTTTAGAGCAATGATTTCACTGTGCTAAGGCATACCAACTTTCTTGCAGGGGAGGAGCCTCAAGGAGGAATGGTTAAGATTTATGTTAAATGCTCTGGAGAGAAGGAAGAGATGTTTAGGCAGAAGTCTGTGAAATTCTGGAAGAATAGTGTAGTTATTAGCTGTTATTATTTGTTAGATGGAAAGCAAACTTTACCATCGTGTTGCAGGAGGGATCTGAGAACATTTCCTCATCCTGGGATGTGATGAAGCCTCTTCAACTTTCTCAGACTGCCATATGCATTGATAGTGCTCAATACCTTTCAGGATTTCACCCAGTTAGAGACCTGAATTAACATACTGACTTCAGCTGGATTATAGAAGCATCGTTTATGTGTACAGTATATAATAGAGTTTTTAGTTTTTTCTTTTTCCTAAGGGTAACAGTTGGTGAGACAGCAAGAAAATGTTGTCGTCTTATTTCTCCTGTAATAGCCATGAACCTTGCATATAGGTGTATTTATTCAAATAGGACATTGGTAGGAAAAAGAAAAGTGTACGAACTGAGGAAGACTAAAGATCAATGTCTTCAAGAAAAATTAGGTAAAAGAATGTTTTACTGCCTAGAAAACCTTTCATTGTTGTAATTTTTGGGAAAGTTTCAAGACTTCTTTTATCCTAGGGATGAGTTACACTAGTTTTAAAAGTATTGCATTAAGTAGGCCCTTCTAGACCAAGTGTCCATCACCTCTCCTGTTTTTCAAGGAGAAATACAGGACAAGTGCTCAGAATGACGATGTCACCTCCTGACTCCTCACAACTGACTTTGCTCGGAGGAGGTTGATACAATTTCCCTGCTCCCTGGCCAGGTACTTGCTGAAGACCTGCAGCAAGGTTGTTGGCATGTATTCAGTTCATGAGCTGGTCATTTTTGAATGCTACATCTTCTAAATAAAATCAGCCTCATTTCTTCTGAGAATTTCAGGCTTTGCTAACGAGGAGAACACATGTCAGGATGCAGAGCGTTATTATTATAAATCCATAGGATATGGATAAGTATATTTAGCTGTCTATCACTATTGATGCTTAAATGTGTTGTTTGTGTGCACTCTGTTAAGCTTGTGAAGCAAAGACTATTAATTAGAAGCAAGTCAAATAATCTTTTTCAAGCTATAAAATGTGAGGCAAACAAACAATTTTTGAAAATAAAACAATTTTCACACAAAGCTTTCAGAGAAAACTTTTCAGTCTCCTGTTTTGAGGCAGTCTCTTACTTTCAGATGGTTTAAGTGGCTGTTTTTCATACCTTGGAGATCAAAATATATAGAGTTATTCTTTTTATGCCTGACTACCAAAGTGCAAATTTGCATTCATTACTCAGACAAATAGTTTGAGTCAAACTACTGACAGACAATCAAGTGACAAAAGGATTTTAAAAAATACTTCCTGATTAAGGTGTATATATAGTAGTACTTTACATGGATAGGTAAGTGAACCTTCATCTTGGAGGGTAGAGGTAGTAGTAAACATTCTGTATTTACATTTATTATGTAAATAGTTGGTGTCAAAAGTGTTTTGGACCACATTCTGATACCTCTTTTCATTTAGCTTAATTGCTCTGTGGATTTCGTCAGAGCTATTAGTGTGATAACGTCTTACTGTGTGCAGTCTGTCTGTTTTCAAGGAATAATTACTTTGTTTAGAATTAGTCTCTTCATTTTTCTAAGGTAGAATTTTCTAATGAGTTACAGGTCCTGAAGTATAGTGCTTGACTATAGAGTGTTTATAAAGTCAAATCAAGTTCTTAATTTGTAAGTGTATATTTTACAGAAATGTAAGATAATTGTGTGCTACAATTTATTTTTTTTTTCTGAGCAAGAAAAATGGCTCTTAATGTTACGTGGGATTTCAGGCACTCAGATCTCACCTCTGCTGTGAATTCATCTTCTGTGTTGCTCACAAGTATGTTAGGAATAGTCTGCACTGTGTTTATTTGTAAAAGCTCTGTAAAATATTCAGTTTTTACAGCATTGAGAGATGAGAAAAAGACTTAGTGTTCAATTAGAATTCCTTACTAATGATTTTGCATACAGTTTTAATTTTCTAAATCATTAGACACATTGCTAAGATTTAAATTTCATGTGATAGCTATTAGTGATACCTTGATTCCTAATGTTACTAGAAATTTCTGACTTTGAGGATTTTTTTTTTTCCTCTTCCAGGCAAGAAACACCTTTTTTTAAGCCAAATTATTTTTTCACTTTTTTTATGCATATGGCTGTTACAAAATTATAGCAAAAGAGAATAAAATCACTTGCTTTAAAACTTACTAGTATGTATTTTCTTTTTAAAAGCTTTGATCGGGAAGCTAATTTGATATGTTTAATACAATGTGTTATGGTTAACTAATGTGAACCAGTGCTATGTAACTGGTCTGTAAACAGGCTGGAACTATAGCCTGAGGAATATAAAACTAATTTCAAGAGAGTGTCAGTGCTGAAAACTAGTTCAAATAATAGCAGTATTAACTGCTTGACTAATTAAACTAATCTTCTTATACATTATTAGCAAATGCAGTGACAGTTGTTGGTTATTGATATACGGAGTCTTCTTTTTAAAAAGTCTTCTTTTAGAAGAAAACTTTTTGGCTCTATTTGGAATAGAGAGTACATGAGGAGAAAGAAGTTATGCAGCCCCTTTCTAGAATCTGCCAACTTTTTAATTTCCACATTTTTTTATTATTCTTTTGTAATAAGGCCGTTGAAACACCAAGCTCTCCCTCCAATAATGTCAAGTTCTTAGTTCAATATTTCAAGCATGCTAAAAAAGGAAAACTTCAGGGATGTGAAATTTGAAGAACATACCTAACAGGGGATTCAATGCAACATCCTTATAACTGACACAAAGAAATACTAATTTTTAGGGGACTCTGTGCTACTGATGATTACTAAAGCTGTTGAGAACTGCCAGTGTGCAGCTTGCTGCTTCTGCAGAAGATTTGCAGGATTCCTGGAGTCTTAGGTCTGAGAAAAGACCTGGGGGGCTTGTGATACCTGAAACTTTGCCAGTTAGAAGAACTCAGCTGTAAACAAATTGATAAACACAGAGGTTCACACTCTTCTTTTTAAATTATTATTATTTTTCTTTTTTTTTAATTTCTCCCCCCCCCTTTTTCTACCTAGATATATGTTGACAGATACATACGCATGTACATAATACATGTACACTCATAAAAATGTTTTTTCATCTTCGTGATTTTTGTAAGACAGAAACAATAGCTAATAAAGACAGTGGGAGGGATTTAGTGGTACAATTGCTGCATAAAGAAATGTATCCAGAAATAGGAACAGATGGTTCATATCAGAGTCTATTAATTTTTTCTATTTAGATCAATGATTTATTTTTATCAGTTTCTGAGTGGATGATAAACAGCATTTTGGGAAGATCTGGGTGTTGCATATTGCTGAACTCATAAATAGAGACCAGGTCAGTCTGGAAGTTCATGTGCTGTAAAATCTTCTCTCCTACGGGGAGTGCAGTGCCTTTGACTATAGGCAGAATTAGAAAGTACGAGTAAGGAAAAATGCAGAAGTGTTTTCCCTTGGTAGTTTTATGGAAGGAGGAAGCTAGGACTTGGTTAGAGATGGGTTTTTGTTTTGTTTTGTTTTGGGTTTCTTGTGGGAATTCTGAAGGCAGCTTTTCAGTATGTTTTTTGTGTTTCATCACTTTTAAGACCTAGGCCTAACAATTTAATTTTTTTTAACCCTCTAGCATTCTCTCCTATCCAGACTGAATACATTTTTCCTTGAGTTTCTGAGGAGTTTAATGTTGTTGGTGCTTTTTTACCAAAATGCTCTGTTATATATTCTTCAGATATACTGAATGGTGCAGCCCAGCCCCCCACCCTCTAATTTCCTGAATCTGTCATGATTTTTGCACTTTATAGGTATTATGCGCAGTGTTTTGAACGTAGCCTAAAACTAACCTAAAATTGCCAAGTGGCAAGATTTCCATTACTTTCAAGCACTCAGAAGGATGATTTTTCAATGCAAGGTTTCAGCATGTCGGGTTTGTGCCTTGACACTCTCTTTCGGCAGCTCTCTGTGGTACACTCCTCCTGAAATCGAGATGGGGAAAGTATATGCCTTGTTGGACAGCAAAGCCCAGTTTTAGTCCATTTTTATCTTTTTTTGGTATTTCTTTCCACTTTCCAGGCTGTCTGCAGTGCTGTTATCAGCAGTTATATGCATTTTTCAAGCTTAAAGCTGTACTGGTATGTTAGCAGACACCTCTGGCTGTGCCTCTGGTGGGGCAGGGGGGCTCAGCACTGGCAGGAGTGTACCTCTGCACCCAGTTAATGATTCAGGACTTCAGCACTGTCTCACTCTTATTTACTTAAAAGGCTGCGATAACATATATGGGATTTCCCTGATGGCTGTGTTCACCTGTGGTACAACATCCCCAGCTACACAGCCTCTGTCTGCCATGAGGAGACCAATACCAGCTTTCCCACCTTCATCACCTCACCCTGTTAGCCAAAACTCAGTGGGGCCTGGGGCGCACCTCCTCCCACCGGCAAGAGTCTTTTGCAGAGAAGGATGCCGGTGCGTGGGCTGGTGGTGCTGGGGATTGCAGTGCTGCAGTCCTTATTGGCATGCTGAACATGCTCTGACAGCACGGCACGCCACTGTCCTGGAGTTCTAGTGCTTGTGTTTAAAAACTTTTTTGCTTCATGTGTATTTTTTTACAGTTCTGTTGTGTATTTTAGTTCCCCTCTGCTAACGCTGGGACAAGGTTGTTTTATTGCCCTAATTTTACAGAGGGTGTTGGGGGAGGTGGGGGGTGGAGCGTGGCTAAAAACCCCAAGATTTTCGTTGCCACATTAGAGAAGACATGAAAAGCTTTGAAAGTGGACCCACTGATGTATTTATAAAGCCAGTGCACTTTCTCTTCTCCCTCCCCCCCACCCCTTTTTTTTTAAAGACCTCATTTAATGCTCAGGACTTTGTGCAGTGAGGCCACTTTCAAAGGCTTTAGTATCCACAGTAGCAGCTCTTTGAAGTAGAGACGCCAGCGGGGAACAAACCATCAGCTTAATCTTTGCTGTAAAAGGTCCTAAGTGGTAAGAAGCCACAACATCCATCTCTAGGGGAGAAGCTGGAGAGCAATACTTGGAACTGAATCCATCACCTGGACCTTGCCCTTGGAGCTGGAAGTCTTTGGACACTTCCATGGAGCATTAGGGGTGCAGTCCCTTTCATCTCTCTGGTTTTCCACTCTTGTTCTGTTCCAGCTTCTTTCCCCAGTCTCTTGAAGAGGAGGACACAACCAAAAGGCGAGGGAATAAGGCCTGAGAATAAATGTGTTTCTGCAAGGGTTTGTTTGCCTTCCCAAGTTGGTAAATCATTCCTCTGGAATGCAGAGCAGGTGGCACAGTCACTGGTGTTACCTGCCAGTCCTTGGGTGGCAGTGTGGCATATGTCCATCCAGTTAGGTCAGACTAGATGGCTTTGTGGTGGCCCCAGGAGATAAAGCAGTGCCTTCATGTTCTGAATATCATCATCTGGAGGTGCCTGTCTCCCTAATGGCATGAGGACGGTGAAGGGGATCATGCTTTTTGGTCGCCAGTGATGCATTTAACTGCTCGAAGCTAGGTAGGATGAGTCTGCCACCTGTGAAATCCGTTTGTTTGAAACAGGAGATGAAAGTGTTGAGTTTCTCACAGGAGGGCTTGAGGATCAGCGTGTCACTATGGACCTGTAGCCATCTTTGGTTGCAGAACTACACTGCTTGTAAGGAGCTGCCATCCTGAGGTGGAGAAGGCAGAAGGGTAAGCTGAGGACAGCAGTGTGTGCCTTGACTGGCACATGGCTCAAGTCACCAGGGGTGAGAGGCTTACTGAGGAGGGCTTTCCTTCTCGACCATAGTAGCCAGTGTTGATTCTGATGACTATTTAAATAATCTGATTTTTAAGCCAAAAAGTTATTTTTTAACTTGTTCATGTTTTTGACCTTCAGCACATCGCTTGCCATTTAACTTCACCCTCGTGCGGTTTGCTGTATGCAGAGATAGCTGTCTTTTGTGTGGCTTCCCCACTGGTAAAACACTGAGTGGTCCCCGCGTCCTAGTCAAAATCTAGTGGTCCTTGTCATCAGTCTGTATGAATTTCATATTCTTCCTGTTGTCAAAAGCCTCACTGTTGCCTCTGTATATGTAAGCCTTTCCGTAGTGCTGATGGTGCTACTGCTGTTCTCTTACTCTTTTATCATTCCAGAGTTACATGCTCCATGACTATACACAGTAGTGTAATTCTTTTCTGTTTTCCTTTGATAATGCCAAATGTTTTGCTTGCTTTATATCCCATCAACTGCTGAGTATTTTGCAGAAGTCTTCATCGAATTGCCTGTAATGTCCATACGATCTTTCCTCTGTAGCAGTGTCTTGTTTGAACCTAGTGTTGTGTATATACTATTCGTTGCTCGTCTGTTTTTCCCCTCATCTGCATTATTTTTGCCTATCGTTATGTTAAACTGATGTCATTTTACCCTCCAGTATACTCATTATTATGAGATCCTTTTGTAACTCTTCCCAGTCGGCTTCTGGTATGACTTAGCAAAAATTTTATGTTAACTGCAAACTATCTTATTGTTTATGGTTATGTTGCAAAGCAGAGAAGGTAAGCTGTTGGCAAACTTAATTATGAAAATTACAGTAGATTATTAGAAGTAAAAACATATTTAATCTTGTGAGTTTGTTGGATTTGGGGGCTTTTGTAGAATTTGTTGACTCTGAACGTTTGCTCTGACTGCAGTCTTCATACTGTCTGCAAATGTTTAGCCCTTTTAACTATCCTTTTAAAATAAATTTCTTTTAACATCCATAAGACCTATGTCATTACCGTAGCTGAGTTCCACAAAAATCATCAGGTTACAAAGATGAGATGATTCATTTATTTTTATTTTACTTAATTTTGAGCTTTTAGAATTTGTGTTTTCTAGCTTTTCCTTACCATTGTCAGAACTGTACTCCTTAATAAAAATTGACAGTTGCCTGTAAACACATTTGTAGGTGATAAGGTTTTACGAAATGCACTTAATGTTTTCAGGCTTCCAGTGAAGTGGACAAGAGGTAGCTGTGCTGCAGTAGGGTTCTGTAGTGGATCATTAAACTTGAGGATTCTTGTCATATATAAGGTGGTTAGTGGTTTGGGGTTTTTTTTCTTGGTTTTTGTTTTGTTTTGTTTTTTGTTGTTGTTATTTTGGTTTGTTTGTTTCTTTTTTCTTAAATAGAAATGAAATTAAAGCAGACTTAGTAGTAATGTTCTGCTTTGATATCTCATCCCTCTGTGTCTCCAATCGCTGTGATATGGTTTGAAGCTGGCTCCCTGCCAAGTCTCCAAACCTTACCACAAGAAGTCCATCCCCCCCCAAACCACAGGGAGAAGAGGGAGGAAAAACAACCAAGAAAAACTGAAACGAGAGAGACAGCTAAAGCAATATATATATATCCCGATTAGTAGCCCAATATCTAGCAACTAAAAGAGTTAGCAAAGAAATATCTCACTACTCTCCTTGGGACAACCGAGAGTCGCTCTGGAATGATCGCTGGCAACCTCTGCCTCCCAAGGTCGGCAAGGCCTAACCAGGCCTCGCTCCCCAACACGGCAGACTCAACAGCAGGGAACCTGCACCTCCAAGCCACTGGAAGGAAAGAGAGCGAAGGCCTCTCCTCCTTTCTTCTTATAGTCTGGCTTACATAAATATTGTAGGGAATACTGGGTAAATCTGCGCCCTTCCTTGGTTACAAACTGGTCACCAAGGAAGGCCCAGACCAAACTACCACACGCCAAAACAATACTTTTCACTTTACAGAAAGATAAATGTGATGATTTTCATCTTTGAATTGCTTCACTTGAAGGTAGAATGATTGCCCTGTAATAGGACTGATGAGCAAGTTTCTAGTTTTCTGATTTAAAAATACTAAAATTTCTGATTTAAAAAGATTAAAATGTTTTGTTTGTGTGGCTGTATTGACTCCAGTGCTGCAGTTAAGAAATTTAGGTTACATTGTGCCTTGTGCATCAACAGGATTGTTCTTTGATTGTTTTCCTGATGGACCTTGTTTGTTTGGTGAAAAAACCTGGGACCTTAATTGTGGATTTCCATTCAGCTTTATAGAACCATAATAATTAAATTTAAAAAAACCAAACCCACTCTTCATTATGTAAATTGAGTGAACTTTTTGTATAAGAAATCCTAAAAGCATAGAGCTAGAATACCACTGCGTCTTTGTTGTCTCTCCCTTTTCTGTATTTTCAGGGTATAACAGTGCCTTTTTTTTTTTTTTTGGTAGCAGACAAGCAGTTCTGCTCAGTTGCTATAAAGTGGTACCATGGTTACTACTGTTTCAGGTGATGGGCAGAGGGATAAATGTGGAGAAGGGCCTCTCAAGTAGGTTTTCAGGATTTCTAGACTCTACGCATTGTAATAAAGTGTGTATTTCTGTGAAAGCCAAATATTGGTAATATAAACTTTGCAGCCCGTAGAGTTGCAGAGGATTACTGGAGGGCATACTTTTGGGGGGGGGGCGGGTTAAAATTTATTTATTTATTTTGGTTTGGTTTTTATTTTCTGGTCTGTTGATTTTATGTCTCACCTGCTTTGTCCTGGAAATGTTGTATGAAATGGAAAAAAGTCCTATCAAGTGTCAGGGGCCACAGTGTGTACATAGGCTGAAGGTTAGAAGATGCTAAATCTCTTATTTACAAGCTAAACAAATATTGCATTAAAATGAGGCACATTCAACCCACACATTTAAGTCATTTTTGAAAAGTTGTTTTTGGAATAAAAATGTGTGTAAGCATAACAGCAGCAGTCCACTTCTTACGTTTATACATGGACAGTTTTTTGTCTCTGAGTAGTGTTGTTAATGTTACTTATTTGACCAAATTCAATTTTTTTTTCCTTTTTTGCTATTTATTACTTGCAACACAGCAAATTTGACATTGTCTTTAAAAATAGTGTTGTATATCAAGGTGATATCTGTACGTTGTTAAAGGAAGCTCCCGAATTATGATTTAACACAGAAATTATGCAAGACAATACATATTGTAAAGTGCAAAATAAAGTGCGGCTTTAAATATCCTTTTGTGACTAAGCTTGAACTACAACAAATGAATTAAGCCTTTGAAAAGGACAAAAATGTCAAGACTTATTTTAATCAGTCCAAATTTTCCACTGCAATGTGAGCAGAAAGCTGTCTCTTGCCAAAAGCCAGTTGCTTGTGCTCGGTGTCAGATGAGTCTCCACTGCTTTGGAAGCGCTGGTGAATGCCAGGCTGTGCTTAGCAGTGCTGCTGTCCCCAGCAGGAGAAAGAAATCTCTGCAGTTAGAGGTAAGCAGAGAGAGTAGAAAAAGGTCTGAAAAAGTGCTCTGTCAAAACATTTATGGGAAATGTGTTCAGTGTTCACTGCAAAAACATTGCAATTCGTTGTGTCAAGGGATGAAAGAACTCAATTTTTCAACTTTCCTGTTGAAATACAATTTATGGTTCATTCCTGAATAACTGTGTGCTTACCCATAATAACACTTAAGTTACAATAAAATGATTCTACCATATGAAAATAAAGTGTTGAGGTGGAATTCTTTCAATGTTGCTAAAATACTTCTACTTTCCCCCTCCAGTATTTTCACCTTTCAGTCAGAGAAGGCCTTGAGATGCTGAAATTTCCTTCAGGAAAAGTTTTCAACAACACCTGGTTGAGAGTAGGAAAGAGGTTTTTTCCTACTGCTCTATTTTCGCATTAAATACCTCAGTTAAAATAGAGACACTAATTTAAATATTGAGAAAATTTTTTATTTAAGGCAGGGACATGGCTGGGTCTGGGACATAGAAGTACTGGAC